GGGGAAGGTCAGCCGCTGGCCGGGGCATCTCTGTCCCCTCCGCCTCCAGTCGGTTGCAGCAGTGTGGCCCCAGAGTTTGTGCTCGCGTCCCGGTGGGCGTCCCTGTGTGAGCGCCACCTCCGAGCAGACGGCCTGGAGCGGAGGGGGGTGGGGGGTGCGTGCCCTGTCCCAGACGAGTCCCAGCAGGTTAGCCGAGTAACAAGATGAGAGTTAGGAGCGTGGGGACCTGCACCCAGATGTCATGCCTGCAGCCCCACCCTGTGTCCGCTTATGTCCACTTCCCTGAGTGTCTGTGACCCTTCCCATCGCCAGGGACCGAGGGCTGCCCAGGAGGTGGGGGCTGGCCGGGATGGCCCAGGCGCCACTGAGGAGCCCTGTTGGGGCTGCCTCCCCACTTCCTCGAAGCCGATACTGTTGGCAACCATTGCTTAATGTACTTTAACTTTTGTTATTCCCACGCCCTCTTCACACCCCAGTAAGCAGTCCTGCTCCACCACAGTGTGAAAGAGAAGTTCTTCTCACGTGGGACCGAACCACTCTTGCAAACCACATCAAAGCAGAGTCCCTTCCCCCGCAAAGGAGGCTGGGCAGTCAGATGTGGTTGGCAGCCTGCAGCCTCTGAGGGCTCTTCAGGGTCTGAGGAGGACGGTTTTCCTCCCAGGAATTGTGTGAAGATTTAATCTAGCATGTTTGTGCTCCAGCAGGCAGAGTTCAGTTTCCCACCCTCCTCCTCCTCCTGCGGTTCAGTACACCCGCAGCCCGCTGCTGTAGTGTGGGAGGTTTTCAGGGAGGTGCAGCCTGCCTTAGGGTGTGGGCTGGGAGGACACCGAGGCCATTGCTGGGATGAGGGCTCAGGTCCCCACACGTGTGCTGGTGCCGCCCCGCGGTGGGATAGACGAACCGGGGGCCCAGCTGCCTCTCACCCCAGGTCCCACTTGGCACCTCTTGACATCCTTGCCCCTCTCCGCCAGCGAAGGAGCCCCCCACTCCCCATGGCTGATCGGCAGCTGGCATCGCCCCCGCCCTGCACACACTCCTCCGACCCCCGTCATCCTGCCATGGTTTTCATTTCCCAGGTCCCAGGTGTGCATACCTTCAGCAGGCCTTGGGGAAGATGGCGACCCTGGGGGACGGTCAGGAGCCCCCTCGTGTCCCGTCCCCTGTCAATCTTGCGTCACCAGGGACACCTGGAACCCACCGCCTCGAGGCCCGGCTTCACCTCCACGGTCATCAACACGGTACTCACCCTGCGCTGCGCTCCCTCCACCTCCCTGCACCACTGACAGCGCGGCCAGAAACAAGGCAGCTCACGGCTGCTGGGGCTCCTGCAACCTTGCACTTGGGTCGGGACATGGGCAGCCGAGGTCGAGGCCGGAGACTGAGCCTTGTGAGCAACGGCTCCCTAGGGGACAGTCCCCCAGGGCCATGTTGGGCAGGCAGGGCCCTGTGTCCTCTTGTCTCCCTTTATGAGCCTTTGCTCCCACACCAAGAAAATAGAGCACCCTGAGTTCCGGGCCGGCTGGTCTGGGTTGGGGCCCCCAGGGACCTGCAGGGATGCAGCTGCCAGCCTTGTGCTACCCTCCTGGCGGAGTCTCGGGATATCAAAGTCACGGAAGTAGCCAATGACTAGTCAGGCGGCCGGTGCTGAGGGGGTGTCCACGCCCCGTGGCATGCGGTGCCCCCTGGGTCTTGCTCCTGCTCAGCCGTCAGAAGTCCTGGGGTTCTGTCCGCGCCCATGTTCCACAGGAGGCCTGGCCTTACAGCTCAGGACACACATGAGCTGATGACAGCCAGGTCAGGGGTCAGCATGCGTTTCATCCCACCTCTGTCCTAGAGTGCGGGCACTGAGCCCAGGGGCGTGGCTTGGGGCATGGCTTGCCGCGTACCTGGAGCCCTCCTTGTCGGGTCTCAGCGTCACAGTGAGCAATGGGATGACGGTTGAGACATGCCAGGCTCTGTGCCAAGGGCTGTGGGTCATCTCGAGGTCCAGTGACCACACTCTCTGGTGGCCATTAACATAAGGACAGTGAGGTCCACAGAGGTCACGGGATGGCATGAGGTCACACACAGCTAGGGAACGTGTCATTCACCCCCCAGGTCGGTCCAAGGCCGGAAGGGCAGCAGCGCCTAGCTGGCCCCACGCTGTTCCCGGCTCCGGGAGCCCTCCTGGCACCTGCCCATCCCTGGGGTGGGCCGGACTGGGGGTGTGGGGTGGGTACGGAGCTAGGTGCTGCGCAGAAGGAGCCGGGACGGCACCCAGCACATGCGCCGCAGGCCTTCGCCGGGGCGGCCGCCTCCCCCCGCACGATGGTTCAGGGCCTTGGCCAGGGCTCCCCCGTGGCTGTGCTCCTGCCCCCTGCGGTCGGGACTCTGAGGCCCACCCTTAACCTCCACATTTTCCCGCCACCCTCACCACCGCCTGCAAGGCAGGACCTATCCCCATGTTCCGGACAGGGACATGGGGGCCCAGACGGGAGCCAGTGGAGGCCAGTGGGACTGAGAACACATCAGGCTGACTCAAGCCCATGCCCTCACCTCCCTCCCCTGACCGGGCCCAGCAAGCCACGGCTCACGGCTCATGGCTCACAACTCCTAAGTGGCATGGACGCGGGACCGGGGCGGGGCTGTCCTGGAAGCCATGCTGACCACATTGGCTCTGCGGGATGAGAAGGCTGGTGCCCAGGATGCAGGCCCTCGAGCCCCCGCGGCTTGGGGCTGCCCCTGGTCCAGTCTCCAGATAGCAAGAGCCCGGAGGGGCCCGGCTTGGCCCCCTGAATCACATCCAAGTGCCTTGTGTGCCTGGGACTTTGCCCAGTGAGAGGCAGTGTTGGCCGCAAACAGCAGCCTCAGCGCTCCCTGGACTGTCCAGGGGCAAGTGGGCAGGGCCTGCCGGCCAGGGAACGAACCGGGGTTGACCCTAAAGAAGAGAGAGGCGGGGCCTCCAGCAGGCCCTCCTTGCAGGCTCTGAGGGGTGTGGTCACTGAAGGAGGGGGCGTGGCTGGAGGGCGCGGAGGGAGGAGAGGCGATGCTTTCGTCCCTCCTGGAAACTGACCCAGCGTCGTCGAGAACTGGGCCCCGCCACCAGTCGGTTACCCGGGGTAGGATCTACCCCTCGCGGTCTCGAGCTCATTTCCTCTGTTGGGGCGGTTCCTCGGTGCTCCAGTGTCTTCCCTGGAGAGACCCCAGCATTTCAGGAACCTGCCCAGGGCCCTCCAGCCAGGGGGGCTGGGACTTCTGGAGCCCCAGCTTCCCAACTCCCAGGCCAGAGTTGGTGAGGTGGGCCAGAAAGCACATTGGGGGTGGGGTCCACCCTGTGAAGCCTGGGGCCCCTCACACTCCCCCCCCCCCCCCCCCACGGGACTGGATCCCATTAGTCTCCCACGTCCTCCTTACACAAGAGCCAGTTTCTAACTCTGGCTGAGCACAGTGCTGGCGGGTTGTGAGGGTGTCGGGCAAGCCGTTGGTCCGCCAGAGCAGGTGAAGGCAGCCACATGCGCACAGGGCACTTGGCTGGGCCCTGGGGGTGGTGTGGGCATAAAGTCGCCGAGGCTGCCCCTCCCTGTGCCTCCAGAGCAGGGAGCTGGGCAGGAGGGATGCAGACACATTAGGAGCCAGATCTGTGCTGAACCAGCCAAGGGGCCTGCCACAACAAGGCTGTGCTTCCAGAATGTGTTCTGGAAGGTATGGTCTGGAGCCCTGCAGCTGGAGGGACAGTCCGTGGGCAGGAGCAAGTGACAGAGAAAGACACGTGGCCCCAGGGTGGGCGGGACGAGCTGTGTAGCGGGGGGCAGCGCCACCCCCCCACCCCCAGCCAGGGGCTGGCCTTCCAGACCAGGCCCCTGGCTTTGGCACCTGAGACCTGAACTCTGGCTACCCCCCACCCCACTCACTCCTCCCCTCGTCCACACCCGAGCATGGACTTCCTGTACCACTTTATGAACAAGGAGCACCCCTTCCTTCTAGAAAAGTTCCTGTTGCTCCGTGGCCCCAGAACCCCACCCACAGCCTCCCGCCCCCGGAAGGCCGGCCCCAGGCCTGGGCGCCTCCGCTGAGGTAGAGCAAGCCTCTCCCTGGTGCAGGTGCCGTGTCACAGCCTCCCCAGAGGCGGCCGGTGTCGGGGGACACGGCACTGAGCAGCGTGGGAGGGTGCTTCAGGATGGGGCCCCATGAGCAGGAACCAGCATGTCCACCTGGTGGGACGCAGCCCGGCCAGGGCCCGGGCCCTTCACGGAGGGTGGGGGGCAGTTGGGGGCCCAGGGAGGGGACCGTGTGCCGGTTGCACCCCAGGAAGGCCCAGGCGGCTTTGCTTAGGGCACACACCCTTGCCCCTACTCCAGAGCAACCAAGCAGTGCCTCGGGACCCTCACGCTTGGGAGGGGGTGTCACGTGGCTGCAGCATCTACCCAAATGGCTCTTGGAGAGCACCAGCTCCACGGGGGCACCACCCAGGAGCGGGTGGCACCTGCAGGCAGCTGATCGAGGCCTGGGCTAGATTGGAGAGGAGGGGGAGATGAGCCCCGTCCCCTGTGCCCCCAGACTCCCCTGGCTGCAGCCCTGAGGTGCTCTCCCAGCCACCGCAGGAGGAGGAGGAGCGGTCCCACCTGGATCTCCGAGATGTGGAGGAGGTCCGGAATGGCCGAGGTACCTGCTGGCCGGGTGGGTGAGCAGAACCCCGACCCGGGCCCTGCCCACGGGTGCGTCTCCCCACGGCTGCCCCGTGCCGGGCTCCGTGCCGCACCCGTCGCCGCCAGGACACTGGGTCCCACCTGTCCCTGGCTCGGCGTTCACTTCTGTCCCCAGTGGCCCCTACCCCGTTCCGTCCCGGCGTGTCGCTGACGTTTCCCCAGGTTGTGAGTGCGGTCCGGAGCCCGTAGTCAGTCGGCGTCTTCCGCTCAGCTGCGCTCCCATCCCCCTGCCAGCAGCCGGGGTGTCGCCCTGGGCCCCCTCTTTCCCCTGTGTAGTGCCCTCGGCCTCCACTTGTCCGCTGCTCTGGTCCCTCAGCCCTTTGCCACCCCCCACCCCGTGTGAAGCTGGCAAAATGCCTCTTCGGGGGCTGGGTCCCGAACACTGAGCTCTCCGGAGACGCCGGGGGCTTCAGAGCTTGGATCCCTGGGAAGCCGACCCTCCCTGCCTCAGTGTCAGGAGGGGCGTGGAGGAGCCAGGCCAGGAGACAGCTGCCCCCGGAAGTGCTCCGGAGGGGCACGGGCCTGCGGAGCCTCGGGAGGGGGCGAACCCCGCATTTCTGCCAGGAGCCTGGGCAGCACTTTTGGGAGCGGGGGAGGGGGGGGGGGTGGGGCTTGGCTGCCTCACTCCGGGTCTGCCCTCGCCCCGGTCCCCAGCACTGTGGCGCCCCCTGCTGGTGCCATCCCGCTCTCCGTTTCTGATTCCAGATTCCGAGGCGGAGTCGGAGCCGGCTCCCTCCTCTCCCCACCCCCGCGACCCTGAAGAGGAGGTGCACCAGGACAGGGGGCCCCTGAGGAGCCTTCCCCGTAGACCCAAGTGTGGGGACAGCTTTGGGCAGGAGTCCAGCTCGGAGCGGCCCACGGGCCAGCCGCCGGGGACCGCGCCCTGCCCCCAGAAGAGGGGCACCTGGCGCGTGACGCCGCCGCCGCAGGGAGCCTCCGGGACCGAGGGGGACCCCGAGCGGGCCGCCGAGCCGGAGGGCGGCTTCGGCAGGGGCCCGGGCCCCGGGGTCCGGCAGGGCGGCCCGCGGGCCGGGAAGCCGCACAGGTGCGAGGCCTGCGGCAAGAGCTTCAAGTACAAGTCGCTGCTGCTCAAGCACCAGCGCATCCACACGGGCGAGAAGCCGTACGCCTGCCACGAGTGCGGCAAGCGCTTCCGCGGCTGGTCGGGCTTCATCCAGCACCACCGCATCCACACGGGCGAGAAGCCGTACGAGTGCGGCCAGTGCGGCCGCGCCTTCAGCCACAGCTCGCACTTCACGCAGCACCTGCGCGTCCACAACGGCGAGAAGCCCTACGAGTGCGGCGAGTGCGGCCAGGCCTTCAGCCAGAGCTCCAACCTGGTGCGGCACCAGCGGCTGCACACGGGCGAGAAGCCGTACGCCTGCAGCCAGTGCGGCAAGGCCTTCATCTGGAGCTCCGTGCTCATCGAGCACCAGCGCATCCACACGGGCGAGAAGCCGTACGAGTGCCCCGACTGCGGCAAGGCCTTCCGCGGCCGCTCGCACTTCTTTCGGCACCTGCGGACCCACACGGGCGAGAAGCCCTTTGCCTGCGGCGCCTGCGGCAAGGCCTTCGGCCAGAGCTCGCAGCTCATCCAGCACCAGCGGGTGCACTACCGGGAGTAGCGCGCGGCAGGCGGCCTGCGGCCCCGGGTGGGGGTGGGGGTGGGGGGCGGCGGGTCGGCCCCCGATGGAGGGGGAGGCTCCGGAGAGAGGGCCCCCGCCTCCTGCCCCCGTCCTGCTCGGCACCGGCAGCCCCGCGGGCCGAGTGGCCCGAATAAATGCTTTTTGATTGACGGAAGTAGGAGTCGCCCCTGCCTGTCCCTGGAGAGGAGAGTCCCGCGTCTGGTCTCCTGGGACGTCCTGGCGGTCCTAACTGACCCGGGCCTGGAGGCCTCATGACTGACCTGGAGCCACAGCCGGGTGTTTCCAGACGCAGAGAGCCAAGGCGGGGCGGGCGAGGTCGGGGCTCACCCTGCCTCTGCCCCAGGCGGGGTGCCTCCTGTCGGTTCCCCGCAGCCGCAGCCACCCGCCAAGTGCTCCAGACACCAGAAGGTGGGGCCCGGACCGTGCGCCTCCAGACAGGCCTAGGCCTCTGCAGCGGCAGCCGGGCCTTGCCTTCGGACTTCCAGTAGGGACAGAGCTCAGCCGGGTGGGGAAGCAGGCACCTGCCCCCTCCTGACCACTTGCGACCCCGCTCCATCCCCACACTGAGGGGCTGCCTGGCCCTTCCCCCAGCTCAACTCCGAGCCTCACCTCCCCAGCTCCAAGCCTTTCTGCCGGGACCCTGTCCTGAGGGCCCTGCGGTTGGGCTGCCTCACCTCTCTGGGCCCCACTCCCAGGGCCCCGTGGCCACCAAGCACTTTGGACTCTCGCCATGAGCCCCCGCTCCAGGTGAGAGCAGCTCTAGGGGAGAGGAGTAGACGTCAGTCTCAGGACATCAGCTGAGGCACCTCTGCTGGTGGCGCTGTGGCCTGAGAGGAGGGACGGCGACCTTCTTCGCACTCTTTGCCCTCCCTAATACCGCAAGGGTTTGCGGGGCCTCTGCCCTCCAGCAACCGGGCCGCAGAGCCTGCACGCATAGACCCCAGGGTGTCCCGGGGAGCAGTGGCATCAGGCATCAGGCCGAGCGCTGGAAGGGTCATCCTGCAGCCTCTACGTGGAGAATGCACTTGGACACCAGCACCAGGACCCGACCCGGCAGACAGCCCCCAAGAGCAGAGCCTGGCGGTCCTCCACACCACCCTAGACTGTCCCACAGACGCCTGTGCCCTGCACACCTGTCTAGAAGGACTGGATGGGGCAGCGCCTGCATGAGTCAAACCGGACCTTTTTGTTCTAGTCAGTCTTTCAACTGATTAAATGAGGCCCACCCACACTGAGAGGCAGCCTGTTTTACTCAGTCTACTAAATGAAATGTTAATCTCATCCAGAAACAGCTTCACAGACATACCCAGAATAACGTTTGACCAAATTTCTAAGCACCCCGTGGCTTAGTCAAGTTGACACACAGAACTCACCGCCACAAGCAAGGATTAGAACTGCACCTGATGCCATAGCGTTGGCCCAATGCCTCCTGCTGCAGGTGTGCTCTCTCACCAGGACACAGAGCAGAGCTTAAAGCAGGCCCAGATCCAACTCCTTCCCAGAGGGGCAAGGGCTATTCCCAGCCCCAGGCACCTTGGAACCATCCTGAGGAGGGGGCTCTGCTGGGGGCCCTGCCATTCACCATCCATCCCCGGGCCAGTGGCTGTGACCAGGGAGATGGGCCTTAGACACTGCCTTCAGCCTGACTCCTCAGTCACGCCACCTGCCTGGGCAGAGCTGCCGGGATGGGCAGAGGGAACCAGAAGCGTCCCCTGGACGTTTCCAATGCCAGTGTCATCCAGACACTTGTCTTTTTCGGTTGATCTGCAACATCCCGTATTGGGCTACCTCAGATCCCCTGGGGTTTCAGTCTGAGAGACCCTGGTTCATGGTGGAGAGCCCAGAGGCAAAACCAACACGTGGTCTGTGGAGCCATCTGCTGTGTGCCACGTGCCCCTCAGCAGGCGGGGAGGGATCTCCCAGCATCCAGCTTCTAAGAACATTTGATCTACTTTGTAGCCCAGTTCTGCCACTCGCCCTGGGCCATCTTGGGCAAGGTACATATGGGTCGCACAGGTCTATTGGGGGTGACTCCACATCACAAGGTTTCTGTGAGCACTAAATGAGATTGTGTGAAGAACCGGCAGACACAGGCCAGAGTCAGAAGTTAACAAGTATGGGTTCCTAACCCTCATGGCCTACCATCTGCAAAATAATTATCTTCCCTCCCATGATGGTTTGTTGCATTGCGTTCCTGATTCATTCATTCAAGAAACCTTTCTTGGGCCCCTGCACTGTGCTGGGTGTGTCCCCACCTAGGAGACTGAGTACGACATGGCAAGTTTCATCCAACTCGGTCCTCAGGGTGCAGCAGCACAGTGGTGGCTGTGTGCCTCTGCTGCACGACTGAACAGTCACTAGGAGTCACCCAAGTGTGTCAGCGGTCGGATCCCCCGGCTCTATCTCCTAAACCCAAGGCTCTCCACTAAAGCACATCTGGCAGGATCCCGACGTTAGTAAAAACCAGGCAAACTGTTCTTCCGGAGACCCCTGTAGAGGAGTACTTCTGGCCGGGATCTGGGGGCTGGAGGAGGGCCGAGCTGGGTACAGACCCCGCCGAGAGGGTTTCTCCGGCCGGGGTCTCGGGAGCTGGGGAAGGGCCGGGCTGGGCCCAGACCCCCTCGCGGGGTCTCCATTATACTAGTTGCGACGCTGGAAAAACTGCAAGCCAGACAGGCAGTTGCGGAGAGGAGCGCCTCCGCCAAGCCAAAAAGCGGCGCCCGGACGCCACCGAACCGGAAGTCGCGAAGAGCAAGCCGGAAGTGCACCGGAAGGAGCGCGTCCCTACCTCCTCCCCGCGCCGCCCGCCGCGTCCGGCGCCCCTAGCGGCGGAGCCTCGCAGGGCGGCACCGGCGAGAGGAACCGGGGCGTGCGGGACCGAGGCGGGTGGAGGGGGCTCGTTTGGGGAGCTCGGGTGGAGCTGAGGGACCAACTCTAACGTCTGGTGCCACAGGGCATAGAGGCCTCCTGCATTTGAGTGTTATTCACAAGATAGATTCTAAAGGCCACAATCCACTCAGTGCTCAGATGGCCTCAGGCAAGATTTTGCGGCAAATGCTCACCCACACGCAGCCAGCGTTTCACAAGTCCCGCCGGTGTTCATAAGACCCGGGGCCGTGGATGCAGACAGCCCGTCGCTCAGAGCTGGAAACCGTGGGGCGCTCGACAAGGGGATGCGGTGACCGTGGAGGGCACGGGCGGAGCTCTGGTGTCATGAAGCACTATGTAAGCACGTGTAACCAAGGTGGATGGAACCTTCGATGTAACGAAACGTTAGAGCTGGGGGGCGAAGACCTCTGGAACGTCGTGACTGTGGGAGGGGTTCGGGCACAGTCAGGCCAGGTTCAGCATCGGAGAATCTACACTGCAGAGAAGCCAATGAGTGGACTAGACCTGGCGCAGCCTTGGGTAGAGGGTCAAGTTGTCGAGGTCAGAGTTCACATGGAGAGAGACCCTGTGAATGTAGTGAGTGTGGAAAAGCCCGCTGGGCGCACACCGGAGTCAGGAGGGGATTATGGAGGCAGGCCAGGTGGACACATCATATAATCCGGGCTGGAGAGGTACCTTGTCACGGTCACCATGCAGGATACCACTGTCACTGAGCACGTTCAGCATCCGAGAAATACCACCGACAGGACCCCACCCCGCTGCAGTGCAGCGGCACAGCAAAGCCCTGAGGCAGAGAGCTTCCTCGGAAACAGCACCTTCACCAGGCGGGCAGCAGGAGGGGAAACTCTCCTTCTCTCTGTTCACACCAAAGCCACAGCCAGGGCGTTCACTCCACAGTGAGCCGGTGGGAGAGGACTCTGCAGGCCAGAGGGTTTCCTTGGGGTCATGGTCTAGAAAGGGGGCACATTCCTTGGACACTTGGGTCTGTAGGGTGTTTTTGGAGCAGCTTCTGAGACATCGTGTGCACACAGTGCGTTGACAAGGTCACAGAGATCTCCACACGCACGCAGCCTGCAAGTGTGCCCATTGCGGGGAAAACCCATTTCGGGGACTCAAGATCGAGAATGGAGCCCGTTCCATCCTCACACCCTGAAAGTGCCATGTGCCGGACCCATGTGCTGAGTCCAGTAAACCTTGTTTGGAGGGGCTGAGAACTGTCTCCTGTAGCTGCCACACGCCCCGCCAAGAAGTCCAAGAGAAGGAGGCTTCTTTGCAGAGTCTTTTGAGACAATGGATACACTTCCAACCATCTTTCACCGCCTCGCCCTCCTTTTTGCTCAAGCTGTACCTCTTCCTTGGAGCGGCTTCATACACGGCCTGTCTTGGCTTTGGGGCTCTCGTGCTGAGCTGAGCAAATTCTTACGAGGCACTGGCCTCACACGAGACCCCCTGCCTTGCATTTTCATGGGTGTGCGAACCCACTAAGGTACCAGTTACATCACCTGGAGAACCTGCGGAAAAGCACAGGCGCCCAGGCCCCATCCCAGCGGAGAGAGACTAGGGCCTGGGGTAAAGCTGGGAATCCGGGCTCAGTCCCATCACCCTCAGTGCCAGTGACGGCGCCCCAGGGTTGGGAACCTCTGCTCTCATCAGCCCTCAAAGGAGGAGCACCGACACAGGCAGCTGTCCAGGGGAGACCCTGGCGGCCAGGCCCCTGGAGCGGAGCCTGCCCTCACGCCCGCGGCGGCTCCGGCCCCGCCCTCTGCCCAGCCTCGCCGCGCCCCTCTTCTGCTCCTGCGGTAAGACCTCGTGGTCACCCGGGTGTCAGTCCGGGCTGCAGCGAGGCACCGTCCTCTGCAGGCCCTTCCTGCTGCCCTCGCCACCCCGCCGCAGGCCACTCCCACCACCCAGGACACGCTCCGCGTCCCACCCCCAGCCACCCCCACACCCGAGAGGTCCTCTGAAGTCCCACGCCGGATGGGCTCCCTCACTCGCTTCACAGAGCCCTTCCGACGGCCTTCAGGCCCCTCCACGCCAGGTCCCCTCGCCCATCCCCTTCTGGCGCCGGCCTCCCCGACCACTTCCAGAGGCTCCCTCGCCCCGCGCACCCTGCCCCTCGGACCGCTGCAGGGACGCCAGCCCGCCTCGCGCCGGTCCCCGGGCGAGTCCTCCGAGCTTCCTAGAGCGCCCGGAAGTGCCGGCGGCGTGGGGCGGAGCTTCCGGGGAACGCCGCGCGCGCCCGCGGTTCGGCCGCGTCGGGGTCGGGGGCGCTATGGGGGCGTGGTTCCGAGGCGGCGCGCGCAGCCTCCTCGGACCGGACGCCCCAGCGCCGGTACCGCCCGGTGCAGCCGCTGGGCCGCAGGATCCCGCCGGGCTGGAGCCGCGGCGGGGCGTCCGCGCAGCCGCAGCCCGGGGCGGGCCGATTCCCAAGGCCCTGTGCTCCGCAGCCTGCGCACTTTAAGGCGTTCTTCCGCTGGAGGACTTGACACTCGCGGCCAGGCCGGGTCCCTCCGGGAGCGCGCGCCCGGGAGCGCTGGCACAGAGCTGCCCGAGTCCCGTCCGCGCGCCCCCGGGGGCACCGAGCTGCCTCACCCCCACCCAGGAGCGCTGGCAGCGAGCTGCCAGAGTCCCGGCTGGTGCGACCCAGGGAGAGCCCGAGGGCTCTGGGCGCCGTCCCCGTCCCGCCGGGACCTCGGGACAGGCGGGCCCGCTTCGTCCGCGATGGCTTCTCTGGCGGCCTCCGGGACCTCGGCTCCTGCGTCCCCTGCCCAGGAGACACGGCCAGGCCCTCCTCTCCCAGAACCTGGGATCCGGGGTGGGGTGGGGGGCGATGCTTCCCTCTCAAGTACCAGTCCTTGTCGCTGGGGCCACAGGTGCTCACCGTGAGGCCCCCAGCCACCCTGTCCCCTGGCTGTCCGCCTCACCCCAGAAGTCAGCCAGGCCCCACATCTAAGGGAAATTTAAGTCTAGTCTTCAAGGAGCACAGATTTTAATATTCTTTTTCTTAAATAACCTTTGGGAGTTTGTTTTCATGGTGAGAGTCATTTCTGCTCTTTAAAGACAATTTGGAGTGGTGCGGGGGGCGGGGAGGGGCACAGTCGTTTAGGCAGCTGACTCTTGTTTTGGGCTCAGGTCATGTTCTCACAGTTCCTGGGTTCGAGCCCTGCGTCAGGCTCTGTGCTGTCAGCGCCCTACTTGTGATTCTCTATCTTTGCTTTTCCCCCCCCGCTCTCACGTCTCTTTCTCTCTCAAAGTAAACTTTTTTTAAATAAATAAAGACAATTTGGAAAGCGTAGGAAGAATAGAACACTCTCTGCCCCCAAAGAAATCAGTCATCAGCAAATCT